TTTCTTTACTGTTACCACAATGTGTCAGAATGTGGACTAGCTGAATATTAAGGGTTGGTCTTTCTGTCAGAGTTGGAAGGTGTTCCTTTTAGACGTGTTCTGAGTCTCAGGTTGGCAGTGAGGGCTGCAGGCAGGGCTTTAGAACAACTGGAGAATGAGGCAGGTATGCTGCTCACCTGAAGCAGAGAAATAGGAGAGGATGGTTTTGATGGAATGACGGTATTTCAGAGTTCTGTGATAGCTTAAAGTATGTCACAGTATCTGCTTATGGAAAAGTCCTGACTTGGATAAGGGATTCTTTGTTTCCTGAATTTATAGGAACTGTAAGTTCATGAATTACATTCTATTGGTTGTTATAAAACCAATTGAATGAGGAGTACGGCAGAAATGTAGTGAAGCTTTGGCTCCAGCCCAGCATTTTCAGCTCCCCAGAAACTCTCCCACCTGCTGCCTTCCTCTCCCAGGCCTACCTGGACTAGTGTAGCCCATGCAGCAGACCATGCAGGACTCACATGTGTACTCTTTTGTTACTGTGGAATTGGAATCTCCTTTGCCCCACCAATCAAAAATCAACACTGAGTATCTGAAGTGTTGATCTACCAACTCTTCATACCTGATCTGAAATCAACCAAGTTTAGGCAATAACAAAAAGAGAACCAAACTGCTGCTCAACAGAGGCAGGTTTGAATTTCATATTGTTATAGTCTGGGGTCTACAAATGCCCCAAACAGACAAACAGACAGGTGAATCTGGAGAAGGAAAGATTTATTACAGCTGGGCTACCAAGTGCTGGCATTAAAGGAGTGTGCCACCACACCTGGCAAAAAGGACATTTTTTTAAGTGATATAAAGTCTTCTAACTATAAAAAGCTCAGGTCTAGGTGGAGTCACTACATAATTCTCCCAGGCCATGAAAGAACTACAATCAACACTTCTTAAATTATTCCAAAGGATAGAAACAGAAGTAGTACTTCCAAACTCTTTCTATGAACCAGTATCATTCTAATAACAAAACCAGGTAAAGACAGAACAGAAAAAAAAAAAAAAAATCTACTGGCCAATATTCCTGATGAACAAAGATGCAAAAATTCTTAGTATAATGCTTGCAGACCACATACAGACATATATCAAATATATATATCATGCACCATGATCAAGTTGGCTCTATCCCAGAGGTTCAGTTCCCAGCATCCACCTGGCAGCTAACTGTCCATAACTCCAGTTCCTAGGGATTTGATGCCCTCTTCTGGCTTCCATGGTTGTTGAATGACACAGATGTTCTTATATACATGTAGGCAAAACACTTATACACATAAAATATATATAAAGTCTTAGAGGGAAGAGGACTAGAGGGAGCATAGCTCAACATAATAAAGGGACACTCACAACCAGCATCATTCTAAAAAGAAAAAAAGCATTCTCATTAAAATTAAGAACAAGACAGGTCTGTCCACTACTCCCACTCGGTTCAGTGTAGTTCTTAAAGCTCTAGTTAACAGCAATAAGACAAGGAAATTAAAGTGGTACTAATAGGAAATGAATTCAAAGTACCCCTGTTTGAAGATGGTAAGATATTATACATAAGAGATCCCCAAAATTCCACCAGAAAACTTCTAGAAATGATCAATACTTTCAGCAAGGTGGCAGGATACAAAATCAACTTACAAAAATCAGTAGCCTATTAAAAAACATGCTAAGAAACAGATCATGGAAACACTCCTATTCACAAGAGCTTAAGAAATATGTATCTAGGAATAAACCTAACTAAGTACATATAAGACCTCTACAAAGAGGCTGGGCATGGTGGTGCATGCTTTTAATCCCAGTACTTGGGAGGCAGAGGCAGGTGCATCTCTGTGAGTTCAAGTCCAGCCTGGTCTACATAGTGAGTTCTAGGCCAATTGGGGCTACAGGAAGACAATCGAAGATGAAAAGATCTTCCATGCTCATAGATTGGTAGAATTAATATTGTGAAAATGACCATCTCATCTAAAGTAATTTACAGATTCAGTGCAATACCAATCAAAATCCCTATGACATTCTTAATAGAAATAGAAAAAAACCCTAGAGTTTATATGGACGTACAAAAGAACCCTGGTAACCAAAGCAATCATGAGCAAAAAGAACAGTGCGGGAGGGATTACCATACCACACATCAAACTTACAGCTCTATAATACTAAAAACAGTGTGCACTGGCACAAAAGCAGACATGTAGGTGGACCAAAAGAAACAGAAGTCCCAAACAGGAGTGCACATATTTACAGCCTTCTGATATTTGACAAAGATACTGGAGGAAAGATACATCTTCAACATCTTCAACAAATGGTGCTGGAAAAACTGCGTGACCGCATGTAGAAGAATGAAATTAGACCCATATCTCTTACCCTGCACAAAAAAATCAACTCCAAAACTCTGAAACTGATAGACAAAAACATAGGCAGTACCAGATGCCTGAAAAGACTTTCTGAATTGGATTCCAGTCACTTAGAAATTAAGACCAGCAATTGACAAATGTGACCTCATTAATATAAAAGTTTTCTGTACAGCAGAGGAAACAATCAATTCAGTGAAAAGGAAGCCCACAGAGTGGGAGAGAATCTTTGCCAGATATACATCTGATAACGGGTTAATTTCCATAACATACAAATAACTAAAAAATATCTAGAAAAGAAATGACCCAATTAAAAAATAGACTATGATTATGATTTGTTTTCTATCATTTCAATTAAGTAAAGAAGCAAGAGCTACTTTTTGCTAGATTACTTTTTCAATAGATCAACATAGGTTAACTACAACAGATATCTTTTAGCTACCTTAATTAAGTTAAATACATTTGTGTTTGCTGCTGTTGCAACAGAGTGTCACAGACCAGAGAGTTTATAAATTGTAGAAGTTTTATTTGGGTCACAGTTCTGGAGGCTGGGAAATCAAAGTCCATCGCACTGTCATCTCTCTGATGAGGCCCTTCATGCTGTGTCATCCCACTTGGAAGGTGGATGGATGACAGAAGTCAAGAGGAAAGAAGGAGAAGCAAGTGAGGACTGAACGCGTTATACCGGCTCCACTCCTGTGGTCGCTTAACCACATGGTCGTTAAACAAACTCTCATGATAACATTATTCATGACCCACTCTTACTTGACTCCAATTCCCAGCACTACTGTATTGGAGAGTCAGTTTCCAGCATACAAACATCTGGGGAAGGTCACAGGCACAACAATCTCATAATTGTCTGACAAAACTTACTAAATTATTTTAACTCTGAAATGGTGCTTCCATTGAGTTCTAAATTTTGAACTGAAGAAAATAAATCCAAATTTTAGGCCCATATGGTTAAGCATATAGCAGCTTGAGTAATATTTCTTCATATGTACTAGGAGAAAAGAAACAGGATGAAGATAATAAGTCATATTATTAATTATATTATCTATACAATGGAATTCTGTTCTATCATTGAATTTTAAATTTTGGAAATATATTATTGATAAAGAAAATGTTCACAGCATACAGGACTATTAAAAACCAACAGACTGCAAGACTGTGCGTAACTGCAATAACAAAAATAGGAATATAAACAATAGTATTATTGCTTAAAAAGATAATAAGAAAAAACTTTTAAATTAAAAGTTGGCTCTGAATCTGAACAGAGATTTCAAAAGAGTAAAAAAAATGACTAAGAAATCCCCCTTTACAGGTGTTCAGCATCCTTAGAAGTTAGAGAAATGCAAATTGAAACTACTTTAAGATTTCCTCTTACCCCAGGCAGAATGGCTAAAGTCAAGAGAACTGAGAACAGCTGCTGGTGAAAATGTGGGGGGAAGGGAACCTTCATCCACCGCTGGTGGGATTGAAAATTGGTGCAGCCACTCTGGAAATCAGTGTGGACAATTCTCAGAAAACTGAACCTGTCACATCACCTGCTATACCAGTCCTTGGCCTATATCCAAAGGACTCATCGACTGCAGAGCTCCTTGCTTATTAGCTGTGTTCATCGCCACTCTCCACAGTAGCTGGATCTGGAAACAATCTAGATGTTGGTCACTGAAGAACGAGCAGTGGAAATGTGATGGTTGTTAGCTGTCGTGTGGGTGCTGGGAATCAAACCAGGCCCGTCTGGGAGAACAGCAAGTGTTCCTAACCTCTAAGCCATCTCACCCGCCCCCCGCCCCAAGTAATTAGTTTTAAGTTTGTTTTATTTTTATTTGTGTATGTGTGGGGAGGGGTGTGCACGCCAGTGTGTGCATGCATGCGAGTGTGTGCTCACGTGGATGTGCAGGTGCCTGCAGAGGCCAGAAGAGGGCATCAGATCCCTTGGAGCTGGAGTTACAGGCAGTTGTGATCTTCCTGATGTGGTAGTCTTCTCAAAGACTGTCAAGTGCTCTTAATGGCCGAGCAAGCTCCAACTCCTAAAAATAGTTTTGAGTTTACTTTGCTGTTTCAATTGAGAACTGAAAATCATCTTATGTTAGTGAATTTATTTTGACTATTTCAACAGCATAAAACCACAGAAGTGAAAGATCATCTCAGCATGAGGCACTGTTCTTTCCAGTGGCCATCTTATTTAAGCTGACGTACATTTGCTCTGAATTGCAGACAGGCAAACGGAGGCTCCTCACGCAGGAGCACATTTGCCAGCTGGGTATGGCCCTCCATACCCACCAGCAGCATTCCAAGGTAAAATACTTGATTGAAGAATAATGAATATTAATCAGTTGATATTCTCAAGAGAAATAAAGAAGGGGAGTGGGGGGCTTGTGTTTTTATTTTAGTAATTCTATATTACACTATATATTTTCCATAGAAGTAACTTTTACTTCTACACAACAGTAAAATATGTAAAAGGGAACAAAGTCCTCCATGAGTTTATAATTATTGAAAATTCAGTTTTGATGCAGTGAGTAAAATGTTTTATTGGCTATTCGACTATGCTAAAAATTGCTTCATGTGATATTTCCAAGTTTTAGTCTTGGGTGTTTTTGAGCCATGAAGTATTTGGAATTAATTGTATTTGGTGAAAAATGATAAAATCTACTTAAAAATGGAAGAAGCTGGTTTAATAGAAATGCTACCACCAGCACCTAAGAGTAATTTTCCTTTTCCTTTTATAACAAACATGCAGGGTTTTTTCTTGCATACATTCTGATTCATTCTTTGCTTTGCTAAGAAAAGGAAATTAGTAGCATGTCCTACCTACCAGCATTGCGTTTTATCTTTTCAAACACTAAAGGATTTCAGAGATTTAGGTAAATGCAGTCATCAGCATTACTGGACCTTTTCAAATGACAAAAGTTGATGATGTGCACAGATGTACCAGTAGCAGACTCCACATCTTCAGAGAGCACCCTGGAGAGGAGGATCACAGGTGTTTTAGTTGGATAGAAGGGTGTATGTATTTTGTTTTATTTGCTGAGCAAACAAATCGACCTGGGAGTTGACTGACCTGTGTAATTATTTTAGAAAACTCCCTGTGGGTCCTAGATCTTATCCAGATGTTTGCAGTGAAACAACATGCACTGTATAAGCTCCAGAGCTCTGGAGCAGTAGCTCTTAACCGTAACTGTCATTAATTTTCACTTAAAAATACTAATATAGAGCACTTTGCCAGTTAAATTAAATCAGACTGCTGAACTAAGAGAGATTTGTGACTTCTGAACAGCCACATGGTTCCAATGTGAGGCCAGGCTTGGAGAATTCCTTAAACCTTTATTATAGAAGCCAGATATTTACAGAATGGCAATCCACATTATAATTATTTCAAACTAGATATCCCTATTAGTAGCATCCCTTCATACCACCTACCACATGACAGTACTCCTCTCCAGTTTTGGTAAAAAAGTATTTTTCTAAACTGCTCAACTATCCCTCTAGAAGAGGGGGCAAAACTACTCTTAGGTCTATATATTTAAGGAACATTTAGTAGATAGAGTTCTAGAATTACCTTTTTTTTCTAGACTTTTTCAGCCTTGAGAAAAGCTGACTCAAAGCCTTTACTTTTGCTCTTGCATCCATGCCCTCTCTCTTCCATGAAGATGTGCCAGAAGGCTTGTGTTGTGACTCTAGATCAGAGCTGATCTATATCATTCTCAAGTTTTAGAGGATTTTTTTTTATGAGCTCCAAAAAGAAGAGCAGTATGCTATCTCCCTTCATAGCCACCACCCTTGAATCAGAAGTAGATAAAAAGCACAGATACTGCACTGATAAGTCTTTCAACATCACAAATCCAGAATTTCTAAGCTGAGAGAACAGTTGGTACAGGGCTGGGATAATTCTGCATGAACTGATGATACCTTTTTTTCTATGAAGTTAGAAATTATTGGACTTGCTCCTATTTCAGGACCTTCTGAACATACTGGATATCCCACACCTCAGGCTGACTACTGAGGTCTCCAGGCTGGTTACCTGGGGCCCCAGGGTACATATTCTGGGCCTCGGGCTAGCTACACAGACCTACTAGTTGGCTATGCAGGTTTCTACCTTTCTGTTCAAAATAATCAGGCCATGGTCCTGGCAGGGACCAGCACCACCTGGATGCCAGCACCACCACCTTCACTGAACTGCCCACCTGGGCTGGAATATTTAAGTCAGGTACGTTCAGATGCATAGACAACCTGCACTAATAATTTACTCAAGTAACAAATGAATAATTCACCAACACATGGTGTTTTCCTCTAAGCCTTCTTTCCTGGCTACTCACAACTCCCCTGGGCTCGCTATTTAAACAGTATAAATGTGTGACTTAATTGTGTTTGCTGGGATTTTGGATTCTCAACCTGTGATAGTCTGCAATAGCCAATATTTCTTAAGCATCATTTTACAGCCATTGTCCCTAGAATGTCACATGCATTATCTCAGTCTATCTTTGCAGAAAACCTAGGGTGTGTGAGCAGTTTTTAACTGTCACCATTTCTTTGGAAGCGGAAACTATAATCAAAAGAAGTTTTTTAACTACTGTGCTCAGGTTCAAAAAACCTAAGGAAGTTAGAAGTGACTGTTAAATGTGGACTTTTGTACCAAACACAAATCCTTTTCACACTTAAATCTGAACCAGTCTTAGAATTTGAAGAAAACGTAAAAGAAGTTCATTATTTAGTATCAGTATGTGATACCAAACAAGGAGTAATTTTTTTTTTTTTTGGTCTTTTTGAAACAGGGTCTCCCTGTAGGCCCAGTTGTCCTAGAATTCACTATGTAGACCAGGCTGGCCTTGAACTCACAGGGATCCGCCTGCCCCTGCCTCCCGAGTGCTGGAGCAATGTTTTCACAAATGTAGTTCCAAAGTCTATATAGCTGCTTTTGTTCTTTAGAAAACCCAGTTTAATAAATGCCTCCAATGAAGGAAGAAAGGTGGGGTTTTGCTGAACTACACCATAGTGTGTTTCGGCAATATGAAGTCTTTGCTTTCCTTTACTTGGAGGAAGAAGACAGTAAGTAAAGCAGGATGTGACATGCATCCAGTCCCTGAAGCAGTACGCACATAGTGTCATCCTCTCCAGGCTGTCTTCAGTGAATTGCATGCCTGTCTGGCACATGGTACTCTGACATGCTCCAAGTTCACTCAAGTGCATATTTAGGAATTTTCATTGTGAGTGATCATCACTAAATGGGGATGACTTTCTCAAACACATATCCCGAACAAGGCTCGGGAACATTGCACAAGAGGAGGCAGAAAGAATGTGCATCCCTGAAGTGGGAAGGAATGCTTTAAAATGCTGTCTACTGGACATGACATGGCTGCTGCACTGGTGGACTCACAAGAGCTGTGGTTTACCTGCACAAGACCAAGCCAGCCAAAATTCCAGCCTAGATCAGGGCAGAGCTCTTGAGGCCCCAGGCTTACTGAAGAGTTACCGGTCAATAGCTACAGGAATAGACAGAATCATTCTTAAAGGGTGTGGCTGTTAGTAGGTTACCCATGTTCCAGTGTACTCCTACACCTATGCACATATGAACAGCACTAATTGAATTTGATCGAGAATTTAAAAAACGAGAAATTTCCAGTTTTTTTCAGTCACAACTGAAGTCTTTTAGAAATACCATAAAATATAGTTTTTAATCAGGAAAAATAAAGTATTAAGGGAAATTGTCACAACAAATGATAATATCTTATAAGAAAATGATTTTTAAACAGATAAGTTAATCAATCTTGATCCTCTTCTAGAAAGACATTGTTTTAAAATTTTATAGGAACTCTAGGGTAAATCAAATTTATTTGACCTAAATAGTCTCAGTTTTTAATAAACATTTTATAAAAATGGTTGGCACTTAAGATTGAAAAATTTAATGTTATGTAGTTATTAATGCAAGCCATGAAATTTTTATAATATTAAGGATTAATAACTGGTTCCATGGACATAATTCTCCTTTTTTCCTATAACAGATAGATCAGATTCTGGTTCATCAGCAGATTGAGCTTGCAGAAGGTGGGTATTTGTGGAGCTGATGGGATTTCTGGAAAGAGAAGCAGTTGGCACAGATAGAGGCCTATCAACTTCCACACCATGGTGCTCTCCTATGGGAAGTTCAGCGGGGTTGTTAGAAGCATCCCTCTGCACTAATGACATGATGAACAGTGTTTGCAGTTCAGGTCTGAACAGCAGGAGTCAGGTTGTCAGACTTCGCACCCTGGCCTCTGTGCTCATGAGACCTTCACTGAGAAGGAACAAAGAGAACTTCTTTTGTTTCTTGCTCTGCAAGTCGCTGAGCTGACTTCTAATCACCGTCACCTGACTTCCACCAGGCCTGCTGCTTTTGGCCATTTCCTGATCCTCTTGAGACTTCAGAACCTTATGCAATAGTTCAGCTCCCAGAGTGAACTGTCCTTTGGAATCAGGATGGGGATGGTTTGAAAAACCATTGTTAACACCCAGGCCATAGCTTCTGCTGGAAGGTGAGAGGAGCCCTGTGAAACCTGTGTCTCATGGGCTATGGATTCTCAACTCAGGCAGGGCCTGTGGTACTGGAGATGCTGACCAGAGGCCCTGGGTGTCTGCTCTCCTCGGGGAACTCCCGCTGCTGAGAAATGTCTCCTGGATCCAGTGTCCTTAGTGCAAAAGGAACTTAGGAAGCTCGTAGATACGATGGCAGGAGACCCTGGTGGACGTATGAACTAGGAAGTTCCTGCTAGATACCAGACCATGAGGAAAACTAAGCTGGAATCTAGACTACATCTGTAAATTTGTCTTCACTTGTTTGCAAAGTTCTTTTCCACTAGTAGAGAAAGCCTGATGCTACAAGGTTACGGATTTTATTAAAATACATACTCGTAGTACATTTAACTTGTTTACAACATAAATTATTACATACCCTAGCACTGGGGAGGCAGAGGTAGGTAGATCTCTGTGAGTTCAAGGCCAGCCTGGTCTACATAGTGAGTTCCAGGACAGCTGGGGTTACAGGGAGACCCTGTCGCAAAAAGACCAAAAACAAAACAAAACAATAAATTATTAGATACTATCAGTGCTCTTGATTTTCTTAAATCTCTCTGAAATGGAGATCTCTATAATTATTTTTGTAATTTGTTTTCAGAATTTAAAAAAATATTTTATGAAATATTATATATTTATGTTTTGAATTTAAAAGCCAGGTGTTATATACTATGTCATATACCACTTACCTAATTTTAGATTTATAAGCTTTAAATTATTTGTGATGTGTATATTTATGAAGTACAAAATAGTTCTCAAATTCATTAGGATTAATATGAAGCATTTTCAAATATATGTCCTTAATTTTTTAGTCTTTCTAAAAATTGGGCAATATTTTATTTATTATTTTTACTTCTTATGTGTATGAGTGTATTGCCTGCATGTACGTAAGTGTACCCATGTTGTGCAATGCCTGAGGAGGTCAAAAGAGGGCATTGGATCCCCTGGAACCGGAGTTACAGATAGTTGTTAGCCACCATATGGGTGCTGAAAATTGAACCCAGGTCCTCTGCAAGAGCAGCCAGTACTCTTAACTGCTGACCCATCTCTCCAACCTTGAACAAATAATTTTTGATATTATATATAGTATAAAGAAAATGAAAGCTCATCATATTTTTATTATCTGAACTTATGGCTAGGGAGTTGACTCAGTGGGTAAAGTACTTGCTGTGCCAGTGTGGGGACCTGAGTTCTGATCCATAACATCCTAAAACCTACATACATATGAAAACCCAGTGCTGACAGAGACACAAAGATCTCAGAACTCACTGACCAGCCAGAATAGCCAAAATGGAGCACTACTGTTTCAACAAAGTGAGGGAGAGTGACAGAGGCAGAGACATAATAACCTCTGGCCTTCACACATGCCCTCAAAAGCCAGCAAATCTACATTCATACATGAACATACATGCATATATCACACATAAGGCTCTCACACAGACAAATTTAGTAGACAAGGATTTTTTTAACGTAATAATTTTGTTTTTATTTTTTAAGTAATCAGAATGAGAGGAAAAGACATAAAATCTATCTTTGACAGAGTTTTCTGAGGTTAATATACTAAAATGCCAATAGATTGGATAATAAATGCCTTCCCAGGATCAGCCAGTACTGAGCAAATGACTGGTACCCATGAATGCAGAGCTCGGGGACCCTCTCAGCCCCACCACAGGCACTTCAGGGAGTTCCTGATGACATAGGACATGGGAACAAATCTCCAGAGGGCTGACAGACCTTGTACACAGACAGCAGAGGCTTCTGCAGATCATAGGATCACTCATACTTTTGGACAGTGTTCTGACCAACTGTGACCCAAGTCTCTAGGGAGGCTGTGGACAAGCGAGGAGATGCATTCAGGCTTCCTGGCTCCAAGGAAGGAGAGGATCCCAATGTGAGGCGGGTCAGTAGGAAAGGACCATGGCTGAAGTCCTCTGGTTGTGAGGACTTAAGCACACTCTGTCGCCCATGAAGACATTATCCTCTGTGAGATGGAAAGGTCTCTTGGAATGTCCTTGACTGCAGTGTGTGAATTGAGGCTCTAGTTGCTAAGCAGAGTTCTGCTTGTCTAAATCATCTCCCACTTGTAATACTTACTGAGCTAAACAAGGGTGTTCTGGGTCCAGTGCTGAGCTCTGCTTTTTTAAACCTGTGCTTTTAGAGCAAGCCCTCAGCCAAATAGCTCTGTGTGTGTGTGTGTGTACATACACCTATGTATAACAAAATCTCAGACCATTGGTGTACTGTAATTGCCAGACTATAATACAGCACTCATGTAGAAACCCCTCCCTAATACGTGAAATCTGTGTCAGATAAGTGGGCGCTTGTCCATGCCACTCTCCCTACAGTGTTACACTCCTTGTTCCCTTGTACTAAAGTCACCCTTGTGAACAGCCTGTGTCCACTCACACAAGGACTCTGTTTCCTTCACAGTTCTCTTCCTCCTCTCCCACTGCCAGTTCCTGACTCCAGATCATCTCTGCCCTGCTGGCTTTCTCCCTTTGCTGTGGCTACTTTCTGTCATATGCCACACAAGCAGGGAAAGAGTCAATATTCTTAGCTGACTGATGAATGCAATGTCTTTCCCCTACACGTTTTCAGTTTTATCAGGTCTTGTAACAAACCACAGATACAAAATCAAGAACAGCCTTGGTCAGAGGGTTTACTTCACAGTGGAAGATAATGACTGCTGTACTCGAAACTGCTGTGGAGCAGCTCGACCTTTCACCATGAAGATCCTGGATAATATGGGCCAAGAAGTCATCGCTCCGGAGAGACCCCTGAGATGCAGCAGCTGCTGTTTCCCCTGCTGCCTCCAGGAGGTCAGTGTGCAGCCACCAGAGCAGCCTGACCAGAGGCTGAACAGGGGTTTCCAAGCCTCCGTTGAACCTGGGCTGTGACTGGGTTGCTTGACACACACCTTTGCTTTTGCAGATCGAAATCCAGGCTCCTCCTGGTGTGCCGGTGGGTTATGTTACTCAGACCTGGCACCCATGTCTGCCGAAGTTTACACTTCAAAATGAGAAGAAAGAGGATGTTCTCAGAGTTACTGGTCTGTGTGTTGATTGCACATGTTCAGATGTTGATGTTCAGGTAAGAAGTGACACAGCATCCATGGGATTTGCTTTCCTAAGAAAAGAATACACTCCTGTAGGGTGTTACTAAGGCATTAATAAGTGATGTGAACTGATGTGTGCTCATGCATTTAACGTTAGTCAGAATAAAGATCATTACTGATTAAAGGTCAGTGTAGATTATCCTCAAGGTCATGGACACAGATCTCTGTACAAAAAAAAGGAAAGAAAAATCTCATACTAGTTTCTATAGGTTTGCCTGGGGAGAGTTCAGCAGGGAGAGTGCTTACTGTGCCTGGATGAGGGTGTGAATTGGGATCCCCAGCATCCACATGGACAGGCTAGCTTGGAGCTGTGCGCCTGCAGTCCCAGTCCTGGGGAAGTGGGAGGGGAGGATTCCTGGGGCTTGCTGGCCCAGTCTAGCTGAATAGACAAAATTCCATTCAGTGTCAATGAGGTGGACAGCAGCGGACATCTAACTTCAACCTCTGCCCTATATACACACAAAAACTCCCGTATGCTATCTAGTCTAAACCAGATCGAAGCCACTTGGAGGAGCCACCCAGGCCCTTCTTTCCTCGCTTTTCCTACTTGAGGAGCTTTAGGTCCTCTGAGGCAAGTAGACAAACTTTGGCATTTGGACTCCCGACCCCAAATCCAGTTCCATAATAATCGTTTCCCTGTGGCTGCTTGGGAAGACCCATCTTTTCCCCATTTTCACTTTCCACAGTTTCCATTACCCACAGTCCTCTGTGGCCTGACACTTTATGGTTTTGACACTTTATAATTTTAAGTTGTATGCTATTCCCAGCCATGTGACTTACCCTCAGGCTGTCCTCCCTCCTGCCTGGATGTGAGTCATGTCCTCTTCCTGCGCACCCTCCGCCAGGTCACTCACAGCTGCATTCTTAGTGTCGCTTATGAAACCTGCTATTGGGCCGTGCATGGTCAAGTAGCTGCCATGTGACCTCTGCAGCCTTAGCGCATCACTGAAGCACTGTTCACTCTTTTCATGGGAAGGATTGGTACAGAACAGGAGACCTTTTGAGAGAGACCCCTCTTCTCACATCTTATCATAGAGTACTATCACATTAATTCTTGTTTAATATTTTCCTGTGCCTGATTTGTAAAATAAACCTTAAAATAGTGAAGCATGAATGGGAAGCTATTTGTATATATAATGTTCAGCACTATCTGCACATTTATGTTCCTTCTAGGTCTTTGTACCTGTGGGCCTCAGATAAGACACACTGCTGTAACATGGTCATTGCCCAATTCTGCCTCTCTGGGCCCTGCTATACCCTTGTAATAAATTGGGCCACTGGAAATTTGAATATGTCTGACTTTTCCAAGAAATAGCCTAGCCTCATCTCTCAGCTTTTTACCTACAAATGTTTAAAGACAGAGAAAAATTTTAATTTAAGCTTCATATCTTATTTCTCTTAGAAAATCAAAATGCTGACAAACTGGACTCAATTCCCAACAAGGGAAAGATACCCTAAGGCTGAGTAGAACTGCTCTTGGGGAACTCTGGTACCCCATTCCCATATCCTCCTAAGGTTTCCACTATCCAGCTTGATTCTGTTGTTGTACACCTCCTCCCCCATTCATACTGGGTTGAGTTCATCTGGGAGAATCTGGATGTGTGAAAGTGACTTCTTCCTTTTATAGAAATCACAGACTAAGGGCAGAGGTGGGAGTTGCAAGGAAATAAATGTGATAGAGAAATGTACGTATATGTATGTGTAAAAACATTTATGAGCATGTGTGATAATGAGTCTCCATACAGAGAACATAGTAACTGTGTTAGATCCAGGAAAGGTAAAAGTAGTCACTTTTAACATACGAAAGATGTGTTCTTATTTTTTTTTAATTTTTATTTTATGTGTATGTGTGTATTGCCTGTGTGCAGGTAAGTGCACCCATGCTATATAATGCCCACGTGAAGACCGAAGAGGCTGTCGGATCCCCTGGAACTGGAGTTATGGACAGTTGTTAGCTGCCATGTGTGTGCTTGGATTCGAACCTGGGTCTTCTGCAAGAACAACCAGTGTTGTTAACTGCTGAGCCATCTCTCCAGCCCCCAAAAGATGGATTTTTCTATCAAAGAAAGATATTGAGAGCTTTAATTTTTAAGAAAACTTGGAAATTTGCAATGGTTTGAAGTTTTATCTTGCTCTTTCTGAAGGGATGTCTTCAAACATCCGTTACCCAAGAGTTATTTCCTCTACTGTGCATCTAGAATGATGGCGTCTAGGTACTGTATTCAACACAGTTTAGGAGGAGTCACTTGGTTCCTCTCATGTAGAGCTGTAACGAAAATGTTCACATCTTCAAAGAGAAATTATTTTTAGCAGTAAGGGTGGGGACTCTGAGTAGAGAAATTCGCATTAATATTATACCAGTTTATTACTTCCAGAGATGCAATTTCATTGTAAAAAGATCCTGTTTTAAAGGCTACCTGGGAACTGATGAGATGGCTTAGCAGGTAAAGCTCTTGCCACCAAGCCTGAAGGCCTGAGTTCCGTTCCCCACACCCACATGGTGGAAGGAGAGCACTGTATTCTACAGGTCGACCTCTGGCCTCTTCACACACACCCTGGCACATATGTGAACTTACATACACCCTGGCACACGCACACACACACAAATAAATAAGTGTAATAGAAAAGTGTTATCTGAAATTCAGCTACAAATTCTCCTGTGATTATTTTTGGCTGAGGTTTGCCATTACATTTCTGATTCTGTCTCCATACAATTGCATGTTGTATTTCTGGCATAATTTTTGGTTAATTTTAAGTTCATAAATAATGCTTCATAATAAAAATGGCAAATGTTGATGTGTTTATTTGTGTATGGATTTATGATACAGTCAAGTTACCATTTCCCCTTCTCAAATATTTAAAAATTGAAAAGTAAATGTGGAAGCCGAGCGTGGTGGCGCACACCTTTAATTACAGCATTTAGGAGGCAGAGGCAGGTGGATCTCTGTGAGTTCAAGGCCAGCCTGGTCTACATAGTGAGTTCCAGGCCAGCTGGGGCTACAGGAAGACCCTGTCTCAAAAAGACCAAAAAAGAAAAAAGTAAATGTGAAGTTTTTCTAACTTTAAATACTTACACGACCGCTATTGCAGAAATCTAATGGAATTTGGTTTGTTACCTTCACAGTAGCCTCTGGAAAGTGCACTAGACAAACATCTACCAATATAATTTTTAATCTAGTATGTGCTTGATTTTACTCCAACTTTGAAAGTAAGTTTGCCATATATTTTTTATAAATCTTTATGGTTTTATTTTTCATGTGTAGATCAAATCTCTTGATGAAGAATCTATATCCGGAAAGATTTCCAAGCCCTGGTCTGATTTTCTGAGGGAGGCATTCCTAGGTGCGGAGAACTTTAGGATCCAGTTTCCACTAAGCCTTGATGTGAAAATAAAAGCTGTGATGCTCGGTGCTTGCTTCCTCATTGTGGGTCCGTGCTTGCTAATCTTGGTCCCGCGTGGGTTTTTATTATCATTCTGAACACAAATCGTGTATTCCAAAGTGACATCAGTACACTGTGTTTTTCCCACTTAATCATAGCTCTGTAATCATGTTTGATCTTGACATTCAGATAAGGTCCTACTTTCTGTCTGTGGGGTCCTTGCATTTTCACAAGACATTACTCAGACTTTATTTATAATTCAGAACTCCTTCTCTTGAAGCTTTTTATTATGAAAAATGACTTACAGGAAGTACATACCATATATTAATGAGTTTTTATATCGTTTGAATATAATATTTGAATGCTCCCTCAAGGGACAACTCATTTTCAATGCAAAAATGAGTCCTTCCATGGGCAGTGTCTACCTGTGATTCCATGGGGGCTGTTACCTGACTGGGAAATCTGAAATTTAAATTGTGTTTTTCATTGTTTAAATATTTCTGGGTATTGTAGGTCTTTGTAAGTACTACTAAATTTAGTGTATATTTTATTCTTTTTTGTCTTTTTTGAGACAGGGTCTCCCTGTAGCTCCAGCTGGCCTGGAACTCACTATGTAGACCAGAATGACTTTGAACTCACAGAGATCCACCTGCCTCTGCCTCCCGAGTGCCACCATGCCCAGGATGTATTTTATTCTTTAAACAAAAAATTTAGTTATTCAAATAATAGAGTGTGAAGATGTTGGGAGAATGTTTAAAATAATCATAATTTCAAAAATTCCTGGAAATTTCAAAACACTGAGAAATTTGCTTTTTACTGTGTGTTGTGTTTATTCTAAAATGTGTCAGTGTTGCTGAAAAAGTGGATATTGTGTTTTTAATGAAGAAAATTGGTTATTGCTTGTTTTAGAATTAGACATAATAAAATAGTCATAAATACAAGTTTAGAAAGAAAAATTGTGGTGACTATGTGAGAAATGGTTTGAAGAGAGGTAACAGACATGGCACTCAAGTGATTGGGCAAAAGAGTTGATCTTGTGGGAAGGATAAAGAAAGAATCAGAATTCATAGGGTTTCATTGATGTCATAGAAGGTTCTAGTCAAACACTGATGAACACACGTATGAATAAGAAATGGAACTGTAGGGTTTAACTGCTATGAAAATGGAGAGGGGAAGATAGAACTTAGTTATGGACTTTTATGACATTTGTTTATATTTAGTTTGTCTTGAATGGCATTGTCATTGGGTGATAAGTTCCCTTAGCTTACTGTATCTGAGAGCAGGTCATTCTTTGTTTCTGAAAACCTACTTCTACTTTTTTGTTTCTATCTAGCACTTCATTTTTTTTTTAAGGTTGTTAAGAACAAAATTCCAAAGTATGGTGGTAGAGTTATGAAAGAACACACAGGAAATGTGAAGTCGACCTGCTGCTTGAGACGCTGTGATGGGAAACGCCATGGTCTTATTTTTCTTATTGAAATTTCTCCTATCTATACAAATTAAGCTGTTACACATGAAACACCATATGTACAATTTTGCTTTTCAAATGATAGAGTTTATATTTTATATCATGAGCAGAGATATGCATACATATCTTTATACATTTCTAAAATATTCACTGTGAATTTGAGAAAATGGACAAGAAATTATATATGGAGAAATAACTTTCTATGGAGAAGTAATCTGAACCATAGCCTCTGATTATTTTCCATGTCAACCAAAGACTTTATTAGTGTTAATTTCATTATAAAATTATACTTTATTCTATCAAATCTAGATTAATTTCATATGAAAGACCTGATGCTATTTTGGAAAATGCTATTATTTTGAAAGTTTTTTTTTTTAAACTCCTATTTCATTGGCTATTAGGGTAAATACTACTCAATATGAATATTAATAAAGAAAACATGTTTTCTTGCTTCAAGAGATAGCACTAAATGCTGTCACATCTGATGCTCTAAGTTTTTATACTGAAAAGACTAAAAATTACCATTTTTAAATGATTTTGGGGGACAAAGACATTCTCTGCTAAAGAAACTGTACCTTGAGTCAGGTATGGTGGCTCATGCCTATAGTCCCAGCACTCTGGAGGCAGAGGCAGGCAGATCTCTGTGAGTTCAAGG